GATAAAATGTAACATCAAATTATTATAAATATCGTATGTACCTTTATATCAGTTCTTATTAAACACTCAATACTTGGTTGGTCCTCCTCCTACTATAACAACCTGCGCATGCTGTCGATGAGGTTATTGATCTAATTCACAATGATTTCCTCCCAGCTTGTCTCTAGAAAGCGCTACAACTCAGCTACAGTAGCTGGTTTACGGTCGTGATTAGCAATTTTCTGACTCGTTCCTGCCGCCTACAGGCATAACGTGGAGAAGATATTTCTGCCATATGCTAGAGCAAGCTTTGACGATAACTCTGTGCTCCAGAATGACAATTCCACTGCCCAAAGTGCGCGTATTATACAGGATTATCTAGAACAGGAGGAGGATGTAAGATTGCCATGGCCAGCAAAGTCTCCAGATTGTAATTCCATTGGGAACTGTTGGGAAACAATGACATACAAAAATATACCAAGTAAAAAATTAAAGAGCATACAGAAGAATAGAGTTATATACCAAAGCCCTTCTGTGCAGTAGGGGGCGTCAGGCTTCTCGTCAAAAAGATGCAGTCTGAACAGTCAGGGTCGTCCTGTTGTTCAGCACAAACACTGAAACTCAGACAATTCAAAGGTACACATTGGTCTTCTTGCCAGTGGTATCCTGTCATACAAGCATCACAGAGCAAACCCCGGTGTCCTAGTAGACATGATGTGCACGTGACCTCCCCTGCCTTGTCTGAGAAAAGAACATGTGCGTTATAACCAATTTCCCTTCATATTAAATTCACGGCAAATTTAACAACTTAAACTACAACAATTCGGTGATTTATGAAGCTAAGAGTTATGAAAGTTAATACATCATTGTAATTTACGGCAAATTTAACATCTCAAACTACAACAATTCGATGATTTATGAAGCTAAGAGCCATAAAAAGCTAACACATCATTGTAATTTACGGCAAATTTAACAACTTAAATTACAACAATTCGATAATTTACGAAGCCAAGAGCTATGAAAGCTAATACATCATTGTAATTTACGGCAAATTTAACATCTTAAATTACAACAATTCGATAATTTACGAAGCCAAGAGCTATAAAAGCTAATACATCATTGTAATTTTTAGGATCTACTGAACTGACTGAAATCAAGAAGCTATCATATAAAAAGTAAAACCTTATATATAATTTAACTGAAAAAAAGACCCGATCAAGAAGCGAATGAGAGCAAATATCATCTTATTTTCAATATCGCGAGTTCTTCTTTAAAAGCCTTTAATTGTACTTTTCATTTCAAAATATATTAATATGGATGTTTGGGCTATTAAACTCCAAAAACAGGAAAACATAAAAATCGTAGAGTCTACTGCTGTTGATTTCTTAGTGTAAAGCTACACAATGGGCTGTCTGTATTCTGTCCACCGTCTGGAATTGAACCCCGGATTTAAGTATTGTATGTCCGTACACTTACTGCTACCCCACCTGGTGACATGATACAGGCTGTCGTAAAATTCGAACATGATACATAATTAATTACGTTACCAAAGTGTTTACAGAGTAATTATCTGTCTATAAAATATTTCAGTTGTTTACGGTAACTTAAGTCCATTGGTGTATAATGCCTAAGCTGACGAAACATGATCCAGTAATGGACAAGAGGGACAATATTACCCCACGATAACACTTTTAATCGCATAATTATTTACTGTGTCAATAGGGCTTTAGAAGAAGAGTGTAAAATAGTATTTCACCTATTCCATTTTGTTGCTGTATGCCGTTACTGCTGAGTTTTTCCATTGAACCAAGCATCTATCAATTTGGTTGGATTACATTTCACACATCCTTACCTGCAAATGCATGTACCGACTCTCCAAAGCTTCCTTACCTCTTGATTTCTTTACAAATCAAATGACAAACTTGTATTTCCACTCTGTCATACATGTACTGACACGTGCTCTAAAATAATGTACGACGTGGCAGTTGTCCTTTAAGTGAGACATGGATGGCTTCAGTTTTACATATAGTGATAAACTCAATGGATTGGTTGAGGTTATGCCCACCTATATTTTAAAACAAAATAAAAAGTTTCAAGTTGGCCTTCCGAGTTAGGAAAGGAAGGCATATGTTCTGTTTAACAAGGTCAATTAAGAAACTGCCTTGGAGCTCAACAACATTGAGCTATATTCAGGTTTACGAACATTGGATAAATTAGTACTTAATTCATTTTATGGGACATTTGGACAGGAACTAAGCATTCATGAAACAGGCTACGAGGACAAGTCAAATAAACGATTTTTTCGCTTTACTGATCGTACAAATGCAATACTAGACATGGTCATTTTAATAAGAACATTAGACAAGTTGATTGGACGTACAAGACAAATGTTATCTTTACCGAGTCTCAAGTATATGTTAGACTTGAACTTTACGAGGTTCTGGAATCATTGGATAACAGTCGTGTACTCTGACTCGGAGTTGCGTGTTTTTATTAGTACATCAGAATAAGCCATTTTGCAGATAGGAAGTATATTTGAATGAATATGGTAATTTCAGCACTCTTCTTGTTTCGGTGAAAGTTTGTTTGTTTATTTGGAGTTAAGCACAAAGCTACACAATGGGCTATCTGTGCTCTGCCCACCAAGGGTATCAAAACCCGGTTTCTAGCGTTGTAAGTCCGCAAACACGCTTCTGTGCCTACGTTTATCGCATCTTACTATTCCTACACCCAGCTACTAGGCAAGTAACTCAACATATTTACGAGAGGTTTGCATTAAGGTTTACAAATAATTAGCATTTAAATTTAGAAAGTACTGCAGAGATACTTTATGATAGGCATGGCAATATGCTTTAGACTATTCACTCTTACAAAACCAAGTACACCAAATATGGCAAATTATGATTAATATTATCAGACTTTGCCTTGTTAAATAAGGTAAGCCAGTATTATTTTATAGCTCATCCACGTGGCTATATTGTGAATTGGTTTTACTGACTGATGGTTAAATTCTGATATAAAGTCAGGTATGTTTTATTCATTTCATATGTTTATCATGTGCGAAAATGTTAAACTTATGGCTCTAAAAATTACAACAAACTTAGATGGTTATTTTTTCCAATCAATAACTGACGATATATTCAAATGGTTGAAAATAGAGATACAGTATCTTTTAGTGATTCTCATATATATCACAAATGATATATGATACCACAAAGGAAGAACATTTTCTGGTCAAACTATTTTAATCTTAGCATAGATACTAACATTACTAGACCTGATCTGTTTTCTTATAACTTGATACATATATCTTTTATTTGAACTCTGACGAACATATCCATTTTTTTTAAATCAGTTTCATGCTTTTTATATAATGTTTTAATTTGTCGGCTACAAAAATAACGAGTCTTTTTGTTAGTGTTAAGCTTAATGTTACAAAGTTTTTCTAGACAATGGTTGTAAATCTATCCATAAAAGGTGTTATTCTATAAGTTTATATGTGACGAGTTTTGCATTTCATATGATGGTTTAAAATACTTGTTCTCTGTCATTAATCTATCTTCCAACTTTGCCCGGAGGTTTCTACAGAAAAACAAACAACCTATTTCTGTAATTAAAGTTATGAACCACAACGTTGATTTATGAGATCAGGGTTTTATGGATTAAATATTCTCATCTTGAAAAAACCGCCATCTTTCGAGGAGTTATGAAACAAAATCCCCGATTGTTTGATTACTAGAAACTATGACGTTGTTTGTTTGCTGTTAAGCGTAAAGCTAAACAATGGGTTACATGTGCTCTGCCCTCCGCAAGTATCGGAGGAAGTGAATTAAAATTATGTCATTAAAGTAGTTTCACATGGTGTTAAAATTTATAATAAAATCATTTAATATTTATTTATATCTATTAACATCAACAGAGACGTCGTTGTTTCACCCAAAGCAGTTGTGAGTTTATAGTAAAAATCTTTAAAGCATTGGTATGTAACTTGTTCTAGTAATTAATATTAATCAGTGATCGATATACAAAAGATCATGCGGACTTAGTATGGCTTCATAACAAAATATACTATAGAACCATGCGTTTTGGTACAAAATCATGAAAGTTGGTATGCTTAGAAACATTCATACGTTCATTTAATTCTGGTGTAGCGACAATCTGGACGTATGACGGAAGCCATTTTGTTATGTTGAATTTTACCACAAACCACACAAAAACATCCAGTGTTTAATATAGTTGATAAATGAAATGATTGCCTTCACTATACAAAAATAATGAAATCTTGCATTCCATGATAACATATGATGTTCGGAGGAATGAATCTGATGTTATGTTTGAATTCATAATGACATCTTAGTCGAAATTCTACTTTTCAAATAATGTCTAACTGCCTTCATTTCTGCCATTTAAAAATGTAGGCTACCAAACACGACTAAAATCTTACCCTCACAATAGTTATCAGGCTATGTCCATAGAATGTGCATGGTAAGTGCAAACAGTGGCTGTTCAAGTGGAGTAACAGAAGCTTGTCCAGTGTATAGGAATTCTCTTTGACAACATCCAAGTGGTAAATCATTGCAAGTGAATGAGTGAGAAGCATCTGAAAACAGAAGCGAGAGAACAGTCACACATCGCTGCTTGCAAGAAATTTTCCATTGGTTTGCAGTAATACGTGATTTTACTGTGGATGAATCCTTAATGCTAAATATTTCTAAATCTATACTTTTCTCGTTTTCATGAGGATTCTGGATCAGAGTGGTGTTTGTTGCATCTATAGACCCGCAAGCAGGTACTGAATTAAAATTGTGATTGATACAGTCTGGGCCAAAATGTTTGCATACTGTTTTATATTGATGTTATTGTCTACATGCATGGAGTAGTTATTGAGTAAATGGCCGAATAGTAACAGAGAAGGTAGCGTATGATCAGACAAACATGTACGAGTTGTTATTTTGGTCTGTATAAGTTGTTTTGAGCATTTGTTCGTCACAAAACACACATACACATCTGTTTTGTATAAAAGGGTGTGCTTTTCGTATAATCTTTTTTTAGAACAGACCAACGTATTGTTCAGGTAATTTCACTGTATTAGGTGTAGAGTCAAGCCTCGTAACGTGCCAGAAGTTATAGGACGTCAAATTATTCGACTGTCCAGAAATGGTGTGAAGCAAACGGACATTGCTAGAACAATAGGGTACCCGTAATGTACGGTATCGAGAATCCTGAAACGTCACCGAACTACAGGAAACGTTGTTCCTGGAAAGTTTACTGGTAAACAGCGAAAAACTACTGTCTGAGATGACCACGTTTTTATCAGGTTAACATGTCAAGGTTGAAAGAAATTTTTCAACACTTTACGACAGGAGTGGCGTGAACACATTCATTCCAGGATATCCAGAAGAACTGTGAGTAGGACACTTACCAAACCAGGTTATTTTACAAGGGCGATCTGCAAACCAATACTAACCAGAATTCATCTCCGTCATCATGTTATGTGACAACTTCATGGCAACTTACAGTTAGGACACTGGTGACATATGATCTTTTCAAATGAGTTCTATTTCTGGCTTGTTAAAGCTGATAGTAGGATTCGTGTTCGTTGTATGCCTGTAAAACAGATGAGGTGGTGCAATTAATGATTGGGCAGCTATTCATCATGGTGGAAAAACTGCTCTTTATATCCTCCAGAAAAACGTCAATGGCAATATAGTTTCGTCTGTTTGTTATGTTTTCACCTTCATTAATCTGTCTCTCTCTCTCTTTCAGCCTCTTTATGTGTTGTTTTGTAACACCTTCTCTTTTACCGTACGTCATTGTTTATATAGTTTCGTCTGTTTGTTATGTTTTCACCTTCATTAATCTGTCTCTCTCTCTCTTTCAGCCTCTTTATGTGTTGTTTTGTAACACCTTCTCTTTTACCGTACGTCATTTAAAAATATATTCATTTACATTTCTTCTTTAACTTTCT